GCTCTTAGAATATGTTACTTTATGAGAATATGAATTAACACTTTTATCAGTTTCTTCCAAGTCTATCGCACCCCATCCCCCCTCCCTGAAAATTTAGTCCGCATCCCCCCTCTAAAAATATTAACACCCCCCCCCCCGGAGAGAAAATGTCTGAAAGAAACACGGATTTTCATATTCTGAAGGTTTCTTAGAAACCGAAAATAAGTAAAGTACCACTTCAGGTTACTGGAAATCGTTCAAAAATGTGTAACAAACCTACGTATGGAAAATAAAATTTATACGTGAAACATTTCGCCCTCAATGAAAAAGGTTCTCAAGTTATCTAATTCAAATACACATACCCAACAAAACAATATACGCCGTTACGAGGAAGTTAAAAAAAGAGTGAAGATTTTTTTGAAATTTAAAAAAAAAATCGTCCTATGGATGATTTAACTGGCCGTCTATTCCGGTACCACTTGGCCGTCCATTCCAGTACTACTGTACCGTCCTATGGATGATTTAACTGGCCGTCTATTCCGGTACCACTTGGCCGTCCATTCCAGTACTACTGTACCGTCCTATGGATGATTTAACTGGCCGTCTATTCCGTTACCACTGGGCCGTCCATTCCGTTACCACGATACCGTCCTATGGATGATTTAACTGGCCGTCCATTCCGTCACCATTGTACTGTCCTATGGATGATTTAACTGGCCGTCCACTTCCGTTACCACTGTACCGTCCTATGGATGATTTAACTGGCCGTCCACTTCCGTTACTACTGTACCGTCCTATGGATGATTTAACTGGCCGTCCATTCCGTTACCATTGTACCGTCCTATGGATGATTTAACTGGCCGTCCACTTCCGTTACCACTGTACCGTCCTATGGATGATTTAACTGGCCGTCCACTTCCGTTACCACTGTACCGTCCTATGGATGATTTAACTGGCCGTCCACTTCCGTTACTACTGTACCGTCCTATGGATGATTTAACTGGCCGTGTCGTAGAGCTGACATAAATATCCGTCCTGTTTGTTCAGTACCTCTAGGTGGGGGTCAAATGACGGTGGGGAGGGGGGCAGGATTTACACATGCACTCAATAGAAACATCATACAATACTCCCAGCTCACCCCTCCACCCATCCCCCTTACTTAAATCCCCACCCCCCCGGAAAAAAAAATTAACTCGCTTGACACCATATTGACTTGCCTGTCAGCTCCCTGCGGGAAATCCCGAAGTTCTCCAGAAATAGTTATTTCCCTTGACGGTTTTTAATCTGGATCTATTTATTTAATCCTAGGGGAGAGTTCGAACTCGAAGACCGTGGTCGCACGTCACGGTCTTACTGGCGTGCAATTTGGCAACCCCCACACATGAGGCCTAGCCAGATTTTTTTTTCTTCCGTTAAAAACATCCCCTAATTAAGTTTGCTTTTTATGATTTCGATTTCTTTACTTAATTTTTATTTTATCAAGCAGATTATGTTATAATGTCGAGGTTTCCAAGAGTGTTTTAGAAACATCGTCCATTGTCATCATTATCTTTTCCCGTTCGAGCCCAAGACACATGGGGCAGATGAAGCAGAGTTAATCTGTTATAATGACCTCGGCATACCAGGTGTTAGTGTGGTCAGCACTATGCCCAGCCGTCTCTGTTTACCAGAAGAGCTGGATAGACCAAGGGACGTCCCACAGACTTGAGCCTGGGATTCGAACTGAAGACGTTCAGGTTAGCAGCCGTAAACTCTACCATTCGACCACACAATCGTTTGCACTCGCATGTACTTTCTCGTACAGTCAATTTTTGTTGCCTTTTTTATGTTCCTTGGTTGCCTTTTTAAACTTCAATAACTGCTGTGACTCTAAATTAAGGTCGCATAAGAGGTTTCAGGGGAACTTATGAGACATTATGAACATAAGAGGACATTAGGTGACACAAGGGGACCTAAATTCAGACCAATACATGGAGGTCTCACTGCATGCCTTCACAACAGCCCAGCCAATCAAACGTTGACGTTTTGTTTACATTTGGTGTATCGCTGCACTTTTGATGTAGCAGTTTACAAATTGTATTTACAAAACATAATGTGGGGGGGGGGGGGGGCTGGAAGAGATTGATAAATCGTTTACGTTTTTTTAAGGACTAAATTACACACCATGATAAAATTGTGCCCCCCCCCCCCCCCCCCCATCTAATCAACATTATTTGGAAGTCCATTTAACTAACTATGAACTAATTGACGTGATTACTTGACTTTTGACTTGAGTTGCTACTTAAAGACTTAAAGACATCACTCGAGTCTATTTAAAAATTACCTAGTTTTAAAGTACAGCCCATCTACAGAAATTATAGCAAAGAGTGTTGTGAACATTTTCTCCCTCCCTCCCCCCTCCCTCCCTCCCAGATGGCTTATCGCTATGCCTCCCTATTGATCGCGTACATGTGCCATTCGACTTTGGCATTTGCATGACAAGGCATCCAGTCTGGCAGATTCGGTCAGGTTTATATGCCAGAATCTCCTGCCAACCCCACACCCCCATGGGATTAAAAAATATGCAGGAAGGGGAAAGGGGTAGAATTGTACACAAAAAATGTCCAAGACGCAAGTGTTCGATCCGACTCAACGAAATGTCACATCTAGAAAAAATAGGAAGGGGATGCAACTCTCGCGTACCGCGGCCATTGATGAGGTTGTTATACAGCCCTTGTGTAAGCAGGGCCGATTTGTTGTGTGGGCCGGGTCAAAATATGTAAACACCTGCGCGGGTTAAACGGCCGGGACGATGACGTAGAAAAACTTACCTGGCGTGTCTTGGGTGCCATGTTGTTTGTTACCTTCTGTTTCTTACCTGCTGTTTCTTACCTGCTGTTTCTTACCTGCTGTTTCATACCTGCTGTTACATACCCAGAGTTTCTTCCAGGCATCTCTTCGGGGGGGGGGGGGGGGCTCCGCCCCCTCCCCGAAAAAAGTCTACCGCCCCCCGAACGAAATAAAATTTATATAGAAAATATATACTTTTAACAGTGTCGGCCCCCCGAAGAAAGTCTACCCCCCCCCCGAAAATTTCAAGTGCTCCCCCCCCCGGAGAAAAAAGTCTGGAAGAAACACTGTTCATACCTACTGTATTTTTACATATTGTTGTTACCTTCTGTTTCTTACTTGCTGTTTCATAAAAAATCTATTTCTACACACTGTTGTTTCTTACCTGTTGTTTCCTGTTTTACTTTTACATACTGCAGTTACTTACCTAAGGTTTCTTACCTACTGTTTCAGAACAGCTCGATTTTTTTACAAACTGCTGTTATCAGCTGCTACTTACCTGTTGTTTCCTAACTGCTTGACTTACTCATAGGCTACTGTTTATTTTTCTCCCTGTTATTTGTTTAACCCACAGTATCCCATATGTGTATGTGTCTAACCCTACAGTAAAACATCCAGCTAAACAATTACATTTTACATTACACGTGTGTGCACACAGTTCATATAACAATATCAGCACCTGATCAATCAGTACGTGTACTTGGAAGTTGTGTACAGTATTTAACAGTTTTTCCGATAGAAAATCTAAAGCTATTTACTGACTCGCCAAAAGAGAGGCTAAACTTGGTTATAGACTGGCCAAAAGAGAAGCTAAACTTGGTTATAGACTGGCCAAAAGAGAGGCTAAACCTGGTTATAGACTGGCCAAAAGAGAAGCTAAACTTGGTTATATACTGCCAAAAGAGAGGCTAAACCTGGTTATAGACTGGCCAAAAGTGAGGCTAAACTTGGTTATAGACTGGCCAAAAGAGAGGCTAAACTTGGTTATAGACTGGCCAAAAGAGAGGCTAAACCTGGTTATAGACTGGCCAAAAGAGAGGCTAAACCTGGTTATAGACTGACCAAAAGAGAAGCTAAACTTGGTTATAGACTGGCCAAAAGAGAAGCTAAACTTGGTTATAGACTGGCCAAAAGAGAAGCTAAACTTGGTTATATACTGCCAAAAGAGAGACTAAACCTGGTTATAGACTGGCCAAAAGTGAGGCTAAACTTGGTTATAGACTGGCCAAAAGAGAGGCTAAACTTGGTTATAGACTGGCCAAAAGAGAGGCTAAACTTGGTTATAGACTGGCTAAAAGAGAGGCTAAACCTGGTTATAGACTGGCCAAAAGAAATGCTAAACCTGGTTATAGACTGGCTAAAAGAGAGGCTAAACTTGGTTATAGACTGGCTAAAAGAGAGGCTAAACCTGGTTATAGACTGGCCAAAAGAAATGCTAAACCTGGTTATAGACTGGCTAAAAGAGAGGCTAAACCTGGTTATAGACTGGCCAAAAGAAATGCTAAACCTGGTTATAGACTGGCTAAAAGAGAGGCTAAACCTGGTTATAGACTGGCCAAAAGAGATGCTAAACTTTGTTATAGACTGGCCAAAAGAGAGGCTAAACTTGGTTATAGACTGGCCAAAAGAGAGGCTAAACTTGGTTATAGACTGGCGAAAAGAGAGGCTAAACTTGGTTATAGACTGGCCAAAAGAGAGGCTAAACTTGGTTATAGACTGGCCAAAAGTGAGGCTAAACTTGGTTATAGACTGGCCAAAAGAGAGGCTAAACTTGGTTATAGACTGGCCAAAAGAGAGGCTAAACTTGGTTATAGACTGGCCAAAAGAGAGGCTAAACTTGGTTATAGACTGGCCAAAATGAGAAAGGCTAAACTTGGTTATAGACTGGCCAAAAGAGAAAGGCTAAACTTGGTTATAGACTGGCCAAAAGAGAGGCTAAACTTGGTTATAGACTGGCCAAAAGAGAGGCTAAACTTGGTTATAGACTGGCCAAAAGTGAGGCTAAACTTGGTTATAGACTGGCCAAAAGAGAGGCTAAACTTGGTTATAGACTGGCCAAAAGTGAGGCTAAACTTGGTTATAGACTGGCCAAAAGAGAGGCTAAACCTGGTTATAGACTGGCCAAAAGTGAGGCTAAACTTGGTTAAAGACTAGCCAAAAGTGAGGCTAAACTTGGTTATAGACTGGCCAAAATGAGAAAGGCTAAACTTGGTTATAGACTGACCAAAAGAGAGGCTAAACCTGGTTATAGACTGGCCAAAAGAGAGGCTAAACCTGGTTATAGACTGGCCAAAAGAGAGGCTAAACTTGGTTATAGACTGGCCAAAAGAGAGGCTAAACCTGGTTATAGACTGGCCAAAAGAGAGGCTAAACCTGGTTATAGACTGGCCAAAAAGAGAGGCTAAACCTGGTTATAGACTGACCAAAAGAGAGGCTAAACTTGGTTATAGACTGGCCAAAAGAGAGGCTAAACCTGGTTATAGACTGACCAAAAGTATTTCCGTTACTGACTCGCCATACGTGAGGTTAAACATGGTTATAGACTGGCCAAAAGAGAGGCTAAACTTGGTTATAGACTGGCCAAAAGAGAGGCTAAATCTGGTTATAGACTGGCCAAAAGAGAGGCTAAACTTGGTTATAGACTGGCCAAAAGAGAAGCTAAACTTGGTTATAGACTGGCCAAAAGAGAGGCTAAACCTGGTTATAGACTGGCCAAAAGTGAGGCTAAACTTGGTTATAGACTGGCCAAAAGAGAGACTAAACTTGGTTATAGACTGGCCAAAAGAGAGGCTAAACTTGGTTATAGACTGGCCAAAAGAAATGCTAAACCTGGTTATAGACTGGCTAAAAGAGAGGCTAAACTTGGTTATAGACTGGCTAAAAGAGAGGCTAAACCTGGTTATAGACTGGCCAAAAGAAATGCTAAACCTGGTTATAGACTGGCTAAAAGAGAGGCTAAACTTGGTTATAGACTGGCTAAAAGAGAGGCTAAACCTGGTTATTGACTGGCCAAAAGAGATGCTAAACTTGGTTATAGACTGGCCAAAAGAGAGGCTAAACCTGGTTATAGACTGGCTAAAAGAGAGGCTAAACCTGGTTATAGACTGGCCAAAAGAGAAAGGATAACTTGGTTATAGACTGGCCAAAAGAGAGGCTAAACCTGGTTATAGACTGGCCAAAAGAGAGGCTAAACTTGGTTATAGACTGGCCAAAAGAGAGGCTAAACTTGGTTATAGACTGGCCAAAAGTGAGGCTAAACTTGGTTATAGACTGGCCAAAAGAGAGGCTAAACTTGGTTATAGACTGGCCAAAAGTGAGGCTAAACTTGGTTATAGACTGGCCAAAAGAGAGGCTAAACCTGGTTATAGACTGGCCAAAAGAGAGGCTAAACCTGGTTATAGACTGACCAAAAAGATCCTAAACTATCCAAGAAGTAACTTGTCAAGTATAAATCGACCAGAATAGCTAAAAGGATGGGCTGGCTAAGCTAGAAGCTAAATGGCTAAACCACCGTACAGACTCGCCAAAAAACAGCTTAAGTATCGCATAAGGAGCTTAAAGTTAACATGAAAACTGTATATGCCGGAGACTGCTTGCATAGCGCAGCATCTCCAGGGAAAAGCGCAGCTCATTTTAAAGGCAGATCCCGCGTTCAGTAGCTGGAGCAGCAGTGTGGGGGAGGGCTGGACAACACGGCTTACATTTTCCCAGAAATCTTGTCAAAATGGACTTTGTTGGCTTGTACGGGAGGGTGAGGTGGGATCTTTGACGTCAGTGAAGTTTGCTTGTCCTTAGTATATTAGGAGCTTTGATGAAATAAAAAGATAAAAAAATATTTTAAGAGCAATATGATCGATACCGCTTTTATTGTTGTATCTAAAGATAAAAAAAATATTTGTTTTCTTTTCTTTTTTGAGCATTTAAAAGGTAATTTTGATGAAAATTAAATTTATAGTTTTTAATTGTTTAAAATATTTTTAGAATATATTAATTTAAATTTTAAACAGAACAAAATTGAGTACCAAATTTACCTTTACATCTGTTTCTTTTCTAAAATTAAGTCGACACCTCATAGGACACAAATATTTTAGCTAAAATTTGATCACCCCCTATTAAGTGAAAATGGTAATTTTTAAATAATTTTTTTTAAATTATGCAATCATTAATTTAATATTCAGTAAAGAAAATGGTATTCTTGCGTTGTCATTGGACCAGCACTTAATCTGTAAAATTTGAAAGACATCGATCCAAACTAAATGAGTCAAATGATAGCCGCATTTGACACTCGTCTGACACACATTAACCATTCTTCTAGCTAGAGGGCTCTTGAGAGATATTTTACAAAGTGGAGACATTTGGAGAAATATGAAAAAAAATGCTGGAAAATGTGTACAAAGTGGGGAAGTTTAGAGATATCCAGAGAAAAGTGGAGAAATGTGGAGATATTTTAAAATATGTGGAGAAATGTAAAACATTTGGAAAAATGTATATATCAGAAAAAAATGTGAAGGTGCTTGGAGAAATTCGGAAATTAGAAGAAATGTGAAGAAATCTTGAGAATTCTTTCTAAAATTGGAGAAATGTATAGGAATCTGAAAGAAGTAGAGAAATCTGGAAAAAATATGGAGAGATGAGATATATAGGGGAGGAAGTGTTGAAAAATTTCTGGAATTGTGGGTAAATGTTTACTAAAGTTGAAACCTGGAAGAACCAGGCCAAGACGGGTCTCTAGAAATGATAGGTAAAGTGGAATGCCAGTCTTAAAAATCAGAAGTAAAAGGGGGAGCACTCCTTGCAATTTGTTTTCTACTCCAGTCGAAGCAGTAAAGAGCAGCAACTCTCGATACGGCATCAAGAGGAGAGAATGGTATAACTTATTCCCTCACCGCTTCACTTGGCACTTCTAAGTTCTACTCCCTGTAATGGTGTAGGCTACTTAGTTTGGTAGTACTTTTGTAAGTATGCACGCAACAGTGAAGGGACACACGACATAGAAAACATGAAATAATGAAGGAAGACGTAATAAAGGGCATGAAACAAGGAAGGCAGACGTCAAATAGGACATAAAACAACGGATAAAGACGTCAGTTAGGACATGAAACAACGAAGATGACATCAGATAGGACATGAAACAACATAGAAATACGTCAGATAGGACATGAAACAATGAAGAGGACGTCAGTTAGGACATAAAACAATGAAGAGGACGTCAGTTAGGACATAAAACAATGAAGAGGACGTCAGTTAGGACATAAAACAATGAAGAAGACGTCAGTTAGGACATAAAACAATGAAGAGGACGTCAGTTAGGACATAAAACAATGAAGAGGACGTCAGTTAGGACATAAAACAATGAAGAGAATGTCAGATAGGACATAAAACAGGGAACTACTGTTTCATGTCAATTTTTTATATACATTTTTTAGGTCGACAATTTATCAAACTGACGAACTCCAGAAAAGAGAGTTAATGTCTGGCATAAAAACAACACAAAAAACAATTCGTGGGCAATCAAGTTATAGCTCTGTACTTTCTTGCCGTTCTACTCGATAGGGCCAGGCACATTATGGCCCTCGTTTACGGTGAGTTGTTCTATAAAGCGTGAAGTGTCAGATAGCAGGGGTGTATACATAGGTGGGGCATACATAGGTGGGGCATATATAGGTGGGGCATACATAGGTGGGGCATACATAGGTGGGGCATACATAGGTGGGGCATACATAGGTGGGGCATACATAGGGGGGGGCATACATAGGTGGGGCATACATAGGTGGGGCCTGGGAGAATATGATGTGGAAATGTATCATGTAACATCACCAGCAGTTGGATCTCCTGGAGCTACTGGTTCAGCTAATTAGGGACAGGTTAATAAACAAATTGAGAAGAACTTCTTACCTGAGTTTTTTAGTTAGTGTATTGGGAATCACAGTTCAGGGTGGGGGGGGGGGGGGCGCGGGTATGTGGGTGGGGGATTGATATTTCATAGTAGCGCGTGATGAACTATTGGACGTAAGTGGGGGTGGGGGTAAGAAGAAAGGGGGGGGGGGGAAGGGCAATGAATGTACAATATGGTGAGGGTATGGATGGTCATAGGCTCTTTATAAACTGTGGGGGAGAGGATGGGAGTATAGGTAGGCGTGAGGTGAGGTGAGGGAGGGAAGTGGATTTAGACTTTGGTAAGGCTGTGGATGTGGATATATGGATGGGAGAGGTTAATGGAGCTGTGAGTCACTGACATGATAAAAAAAGTCGAGAGTATAAGCGGTAGTGGTAAGATTCTGGCGCAGGACAATTATAAAATGACAAGCAATAAATTTGGGAGATTATTTTTGGTAAATATGTGAGAGTGTGTGCCAGTGTGGGAGACACAGAGATAGCGAGACAAAGAGATAGAAAGATAGAGAAAGAGAGATAGAAATAGAGAGAGCATGATTTTTGTGAATGTGTTAAAGAAATTGTGAAAAAAATAATTGAGAAAGCGAATGTTTTGTGAATGATTGTTATAGAAAGGGAGAGAGAAAGAGAGAGAGAGAGAGAGAGAGAGAGAAGAGAGAGAGAGAGAGAGAGAGAGAGAGAGAGAGAGAAAGAGAGAGAGAAAGAGAGAGAGAGAGAGAAAATAGAAAAAAATAGTAACAGAGCGTGTCAATGCATGCGTGAATGATTATGAAAACGTGAGTAAAATATATGTAGGATTGCGTGTGCACGTGCAAGTTTGAGGATGGTGTGTGTGTGTAAGGTGTATGTGTGTGTGAGGTGTGTGCGTGAGGTGTGCGTGAGTGTAGGTGTTAAGAGACGAGGTGTCAACACAATTTGATACGGCTGATGTAGATAACACGAGCAGGAAAATGACAGATGAAATAAATAGGCTGATGCTGTCATCGAATTTTGGGGAGATAAAAAAACGTTAGATAAGAATGAGAGAGAGAGAGAGAGAGACATACATAGGTAGACAGAGAGAGAGAGAGAGAGAGAGAGAGAGAAGGGGGAGACGAGAGAGAGGGCTAGAGAAGTGAGAAATGTGAGAGCGAGATTAAAACAAAAATGGGGTTAGCGGTGCCACAAGGGCTGTAGACCCAGTAGATTCTGGGACTTTTTAACGCGAGAGCTAATATTTTGTTACAATGCCGAGTTTTTGTGCTCTGGAAACATGTTGTATATACATGTTTGATATACTTGTGTGGCGTAGAACATAGTTTTTGTGTTCTACTGTAGACAACTGGAACATGTTTCATATACATGTTTCATATACTTGTGTAGCGTAGAACGTGTTTCTTATACATGTTTCACATTCTTGTGTGACATAGTCGTGTCAGTATGTAGCTAATTGTTTGTTGAAATAACAATGCTGTTATTTTGTGTTTTACTGAAATAATCTGGAACATCTTTCATATACGTATTTCATATACTTGTGTGACACAAAATATCGTATCTGTATGTGTCTTCGACGAAGCTACAATGCCGACTGTTGGAACGTGTTTCACATACATATTTCATAAACATGTTTGATATACTTGTGTGAAATAGAAGTATCCGTATGTAGCTACTTGAGTCTTCGTTAAAGCTGCAATGCCGACTTTTGAAACATGTTTCACATACATGTTTCAGAAACATGTTTGATTAATTTGTGCGACAAAAAAATATCGTATCCGTGTATAGCTACTTGTTCTTAGTTAAAGTCACAATTCTTACTTTTGAGTTTTATTGATGAAAACTGGAACTTGTTTCATATACATGTTTCATATACATGTTTGATATACTTGTTAGACATAGAAGTATCCTTATTTAGCTACTTGTGTGTAAGCTGGCCGTGAAGAATGTGTTGTTTATCGATATCGTCCACAAGTCTCTCATGCTAAAAATCAAGCCAATCAGATCGATCACACCATTGGATACCACTTGAAAATGTGAAACCCGTGATTACACCGTTGGATACCACTTGAAACTGTGAAACCGTGTTTTGAAGATGTGATTCATCGATAACCTTTTGACCCCTTAAGATGCTGATTTGAGGTATCGCGTTAATTAATGACCCGTCTCGCTCAACAGCTCCCGATTACAGTGGTGCTAAAAATAGAAGCGTTTAGACTGTCGTTAACCCTTTAAGTGCGTGAATTTAGTGTTATCGGCGAACGGAAATAATGTAACGGCCGGAAGAGATGAAAGAATAAATAGATAATGGCGTAGATTAAAGCGTTAAAGAACGCTACGGAGCACGCTACGGATAGTTTTAACATCTATCATGATATCTGAGATTTGAATTTAACTTAAAATTTTTTAAAGTTTCAAATTTATTTCGGAAAATGTAATTGTTTGAGTTCATTTGTCAACGTTTTTGATGGTTTTAAATTAAAGTTTATCGGATTTCATCAGTAGATAATGTTTTAAGTTTTTTTTTTGCAGATAAATTGCTTTTTTTTTTAAAAAAAAAGGCATATAGTTTAAAATATTATGAATGTATAGATATGTAATAGTTTACATTTGAATTGACAGTTAAATATATATGTCTAGATCTATATATCGACAATAAACAGCGCTTAGCTTTTTTAAAACTGAGTTGTTAAATGTGATTACTAAATAAATGTAGAGGTAGTTTTTGATATCTCATGTCAACAATTCAACACTTGGATACTTGTAAACTTGAACACTGTTTAATGAACTGGACATTGGAGAAGTCCGGTACTTTCTGAACTAGTCTGGTCAAGCATGAATCTAAACCAAACAGTGTGCTTCATTTCCGGACTATTGTGTTCAACTATGTTCGGTAAGTCTGTGTTTGATAGTTTTAAAATAGAATATAGCTTTTATTTGAATTAACACCTATTAGAAAATTTAGTATTCGCTAACATGTTTTCAAATTTAGTGTTAGAGATTAACGAGTGTTAGTGTCTAGTAGACTCAGAGGCGTAGCGATGGGGGGGGGGGTGGACGGGCAGGGGGGGATATATGTCCCCGGGCGCCGACCTTAGGGGGCGCCAAAATGGGTTGTAAAAATAAATTAAAATGTCATTGTAGCTGCATTTTTGGAATTTGGGGGGGGGGGGGGTGCAAATCGAAAAGTTGAGGGGGGGGGGAGGGGGGTGCAAATTGAAAGTTTTTCCCCGGGCGCCGGGAAGAGTCGCTACGCCTCTGAGTAGACTAGTGGTACCAGCACTAAAACTGATTTCAGTGTTATACCTTGATGCATATAACAGAAAGTTATAGGATATATCACTTGAAATGTCTACTAAGACTTGATGATGTTTAGAAAATAGTGCTTTTTAAAAATGTAGTCCTATACCACTACATTTGCCTAAAGTGAGACTTAAGGCTATTTAGACAATAGTATTTTTTTTAGTGTAAACAACTAAAGTGAGATTTTTATGCTATTTAGACAATTTTTTAATGTATAGGCCTACTATTAAAATTGTCCGAAGTGAGACCTAATGCTAATTAGACAAGTTTTTTTTAGTGTATACCACTACATTTGCCTATAAGAAAGACTTAACGCTAATTAGGCAATATTAGTTGATTAAAGTGGATAGCGATCAATATACTTAAAGTGAGACGTGTCTTCAAGTGCTTGTAGCTTACTAGGCACAAGGGGCATGAAGCTTACGAATTTTGTTTATCACTGTGTGCAAAATTTGTGGTGTATATTTGTATTTGTTTATGTTTATGTGTCTGTGCGTGGATGTGTACATGTGTGTATACTGTGTGGGTGTTGGCTGCGAATGACACAGGTAAAAATGACACAGGTAAAAATGACACAGGTAAAAATGACACAGGTAAAAATGACACCCCTACTTATGACTGCACTTAAAAACCAAGGCCTGTCAGAGCATGATTTGTAAAGTTTCCAATTGTCTAATTACTGAGATAATATCTTCTATCTCCACGCACATACATCGGTTGTGGCATTTTAATTGTTCTGAACGACAAACGGCATGGACATGCTTTAACGTAGGTGAATTTCTTCTTCAGCTGTTCCTTCTATTTAAACAATTTTATCCTGTGCTCCAACCTCTGTCGATTTTGTTATTCTTTTAAAACCCAGGCCAGTGATTCAGACTTTTACAAACATGTATATATATATATATATATATATATATATATATATATATATATATATATATATATATATATATATATATATTTATACATACATAAAGTAACAGTTTCAATGATCTAAGCAAACCCTCAATGATTTTTGCCAAGATTTCTCCGAATTTCTTTTGTCTCTGAATAACTTTTATACATATGGAAAACACAAAATTTGCGGTGCAAAAAGATAATCTAAGCTATCTGCACTAGCTGACATTTATAATGGACAAGGTTTTGTGTGGCTATTAATTAAATACAGCCCCCCCCACCAAGATATCGGGCCCAGCTATCTCAATATTGTGGTTACGGCTCTGTCATCGTAGCACGCACAAAAATCGCTCACAAAATGGGTGTAAACCTACGTTTTAATCACGTGACTCCCTGATACACTCAAGAGAGTCTATTTCCGTCTTCACTTTTATCAGGGTGAGCCGTTGATGGCGGGCCTTATCTCTGACACCCCGGGGGTAATGTCCAGGTACAGGTGTAACAGTAGCACAAGAAGGGCACGAACTGTAATCATTTGAGTAACAGTAGCACAGCAGTCAGTACACGAACTGTAATCATTTTACTAACAGTAGCACAGTCAATACACGAACTGTTATCATTTTACTAACAGTAGCTCAGTCAATACACGAACTGTTATCATTTTAGTAACAGTAGCACAGTCAATACACAAACTGTAATCATTTTAGTAACAGTAGCACAAGAAAGGGCACAAACTGTAATCATTTGAGTAACAGTAGCACAGTCAATACACGAACTGTAATCATTTTAGTAACAGTAGCACAAGAAGAGCACGAACTGTAATCATTTTAGTAACAGTAGCACAGTCAATACACGACCTGTAATCATTTTAGTAACACAAGCATAACATGAACTGATATTTCCGCTTTATTCAATTTATTGCCAATAGAAATTGGTTTAAAAATTGCACACGAATACAAACATGATAGTCACAATATCAATCTGACGTTTGTTTAATGTCTTTGAGTTCTCTCTGCCTTGATGGGTTTCTGGCTCTAGTCTGTTAAAATCAAGTCGGCTGGTCATACCACTGACCACACTATACCTTAGGTATGTATGCCCCACCTATGTACGCCCCTCCAATGTGCCGAGATCATGTGGCCTGTAGTATCTATCATAAGAACCGACCTATCTGGAAACTTTGTACTTGTTAATAATTAAGAAAGGGTTTACATTTAGATATTTTACGTACATGTTTTGATAATTAATTGAAACATTTAAAAATACATTTTGTGGACGGTGTGGCCCAATGTTAAAGTGCATGATACGAAAATCCCAAGTTCAATTCCCGGACCCAAACAACAGTTTTTACGTTCGTTAACTGTAGATAGCAGTCTATCTATAGTACGCACAGTAATTTATGTTTTGATTTAAACAATTTTGCTGTTTTTAAAATAATGACATTTTGTTTTTCAATTTACTGACGTAAAATTGAAGAAATGAAATCAAATATTTATTGTTTTATTGCATGTCTTGAATCAAATAAAAGTCAGTAGATATAATTGATGGAAGAAATCCTTCCCAATCAGATAACTTTCGCCAGTCATAGTTATTAGATAAACCTTTGGCTAGATTTTAAACATATGAACAATAAGTTGGCCATATATAGGATCATTTATCTGGCCAAAATATCAACAATAGCATTGGCCAGATGTTAGAACATCCACTAGGGGTTGGCCAGGTCGGGTAGGTAAAGCTCATGGCTGTTAAACCAACAAATCCCGAGTTCGAACCCCCGGGGAGATGAGGCTTGATAACTGGAGACAGCAACCGATCTAGTAGAAAAAACTCCAAAATTAAACAACTGCTGCCTTGTAGTTTGCTCTAGGATGGGCAAGACCATTGAAGCAAATCTAGAAAAAATAACAGGCTGAACAGTTTTTCTTTTTTTTCACCAGGGGGCGGGGGGGGGGGGGGGGGCACTTGATGTTTTCTTGGGGGGGGGGGGGGGCGACTAGAATATCCGGGGAGCGGTCACTGGTGAAAGTATAAGTTTTCTATATAAATTCCATTTCCCCCGAAGAGCTGCTAGGAAGAAACTCTGGGCTGAAAACGGAGTCAACTGCCTATGTGACAAGTAATTCTTAACTGTGTCGGAGGAAAACCCTTCCAACATTGCAATTAAGAAAGAAGAAGAATAAAAAGAAGGAACACCCCCCTGACTAAATATGAATAGCGACTTTGGCCCACGGTAGGAATATCCACCTGGCCAATTGCGAGCAATGAGTTGGCCAGGTTGGATGATGTAAAGCTAATCTGTTAGCGATAAACGTGTTTAATTTCACGAATGCTAATTAGTTTTAAGATGCTCTTGGTTGATTTATACTTGACAACAATGTAACGTTTTTATTGATAACATCAAGTTGTAAAACTAGACCTTACAACGTCTTAATGTGTATCTTGAAAGTATAAGTTTTAAATCTTGATAGTATCAAGTTTGATTCTTAACGCCATTAAGTTTGAATCTTAACAATATGAAGTTCTAAATATTTAAAGTATCAATTTAAAAATATAATATAAAATATTTCATTGACACCATCATGTTTACTGTGTATACCTACACAACAGAATAAATAATGTATACCTTTTTACATAAAGACACTGAGAATGTATACCAGTGTTTCTTCCAGACTTTTTTCTCGGGGGAGGGGGGGGGCGGTCAACATTCGGAGGGGGGGGGGGTGCGGTAGACTGAAAGAAACTCTGATGTATACATACATTATCCTTCGTGTACCGTCCTGTATAGCCATATTTATGCCGTGTTTAGCACTTTGGTCTCAAGAGTGGCTTACGAACAGGCCGAGGGAAATTTACAAAACATTTTCTCCGGGTCCACTAGGTAATAAAACTCTTGGCATGAAACTACATTTGGTTCACAGCGGAATGTTTTTCATTCAGGAAAACTAGGGTTGACTTTTGTAGAGTTGAGTCGGTCGTTCTTAAAAGGTGTCAAAAATTATTTGCCGATTTTGACATTTCTCGGACCACTGATAGTCACATCTATTTTGTTCTTTAGTATATATGTTACGGCGTGGCGTAGCGGTAGAGCGCTAGATTGCTGACCCGAAAGTATCGAGTTTGAATCAAGTCAGTTGTACGTCCCTAAGTCCACATATTTCTGATACATAACTCATAGTGCTGACCACACTGTCCCTTCAGATGCTGAAGTCACAGAAACACTTTCACCCAACCCCCCCGCATATCCCCTCCCCACATATCACCCCACATATCACCCCCACATATCACCCCACATATCACTCCCACATACCACCACCCACATATCACCCTCACATGTCACCCCAACATATCACCCCAACATATCACCCCCACATATCACCCCCACATATCACCCCAACATATCACCCCAACATATCACCCCCACATACCACCACCCACATATCACCCCCACATATCACTCCCACATACCACCACCCACATATCACCCCCACATGTCACCCCCACATACCACCCCCAACATATCACCCCAACATATCACCCCCACATACCACCACCCACATATCACCCCCACATATCACTCCCACATAGCACCACCCACATATCACCCCCACATGTCACCCCCACATACCACCCCCACATATCACCCCCACATATCACCCCCACATATCACCCCAACATATCACCCCCACATACCAC